TTTCATCAGCGAGCGGCTGCGGATGCTGCCTTACCTTTGTGGTTTGGCTGGGACGTGATATGCAGGAAGGGCTGATTTCCTGACCTCTGGTTTCGTGGCTAAGCTGAAGTGAAACTGTTTGTTGATCGGGCTCAGTGTTTTGAGGAATCAAAATGAAATTGGAAGACAAAAATCCTTTCTCTCCCTCACCTTCATTTTAATGTGCTCCCGTGTGTCTCGGGAAGGGTTTGGATGACGATGTTCTTGTAATATTCCTTCCGTGGGGGGGAATATAGGGTGGCTTACACATACAGTCGCTGTTCCTGTAGGGATTTATTGCTTCGGCACTGAGGAAGTAAATATTCTGTTGGTCTAAGCACGTTATAGCTGCCCCGGTATCTGACCGAACAGGGCTGTGCTCATGCTTTACTCACTGTTTAAACAAAACAGATTGGATGCAATTTACAACAGGTAACTCTGACATCAGGCTCATTTTTTAATGAGGACAAATGTACGTCGCACCGTGGATGCCCCTGTGACTGTGACGGCTCTTTGCAGCTACACCGGGTCTTTGTGGCAGGTTTTATATCCTCCTTTCGGGAGTGTGAAGTTTTGTGTTCACCTCTGTCCCTTTTTTTAAAGAAAAATTTCTCCAGTCATCAGCAGCTGGACGCGAGGAATCTCTGACTGCTGCTGCCCGGAGCTTCGAAGCCCTGTCTCTCTGATTTGAAAATGGTATCTCACGGTGTAGGACAGCGCTGCCCCGGTCTAGTAAATCTGAAGAAACGAGCCCGTTCCCTGCTGGGGTTTGGATCAACATGCTGGCGTGGTGCTGTGCAGGGCTGGGGGGACAGTATGCCTGCCCGGCAGGTGCTGACATCCCCTTCCCCAGGCTCTGGAGATCTTGCTGAAAGACTAGAAGCGTCTTCACCCTCCCAGCCTTGTCACGCTGATGAATATCTCTTGGGCAGAGCATCAGGGTTGTCTTTCCTTGTTGCGGATCCCAGTACAGCGCTTCATACTCGGCGAATCCTGACATAACTGGGGATCTTTGCCTTTTAAGGAGACTTTGTTCATGATGTTCAATAAGCTTGGTATAAAATAAGCTGGTTTGGTCCTGTTAAAAATATCTCTGGCTGTTCTTTCTGTTACTTATTGTAACCGGTTAACGAGAGGTGATTAACGGTCTTCGTTTATTCAGTAACCTGCTATAAGTGGCAGCTACCTCCAAAACTTTGATGCAAGCTTCAGACAGGGCTGGACACTTCCATCCTCTTTAAAGATATCGATAATAAAATTCTTGAGGTTTCTCTCAATGCATCTTCCAGGCAGTGGCGGTGCTCTGAGGTCCGCGCTGGTGGCTGACTGCCGGATTGGTGATATTTGGGGCCGTTACTGTGATATTTAGACAACCATGTTATGTTCCAGGTGATTCTTGTTTGAGTTCTCTTGCCTTGATCTCATCTAGAGAGGCATCTCATTTTGTTTTGTTTCTTTAACCTGTGGGAATGGAAAAAAATGGAAGAATATCCTTTCTTGCACAAACCTGTTGTATCAAAATCTGCCAGCAGCTCTGCCGGCTGACACAGTGCGACAGCAACTCTGTATTTGCATTAAACGCTGCTCTTGAAAACAGTTTTAATCTTCATGTCAGTGCAATTTGGTCCAAACACAAAATTGTTCTGCACTGGGGAATTTGAAGTCATGAAAAATGACATCGTGTATCCCTACCGCTTGTGGAAGCAACGGCAGGAAGGGCAACAAGTGGGGATCTGCTCGCTGGCATTCTGCAGATCAATCTAATAATTGACTTGGGAGCACGAAGTTTGTGGCTGGATGTAGTTATTAAATGAAACGGAATAGCTGGAGAGGTAAGAGAGCCTTCAGGGGCTCAAGCTCTTCCTTAGCTCTGAAGCAGGAAACAAGTTGAGAGGAATTGCTCAAGTTTAACTGGGGGTGCTAACAACTAAACCCTCCGAAAAGAAAGGCACGTGGGGCCTTTGGAGCAGAGCGCCGTTACTTCCTCAGGAGAGGGACAGCCGGGTAACGTGGCTTCAAGTGGTTCAGTGGCTGAATTAAGTCCCCATTTCCCTGTTCCACAGCATAAAGAGTCAGGCTTGTGCTTGTTTCAGGAGGGTCAGCTGTCTTTTAGTCTGTAGCTTGCGGAAGATAACTGTAAATTGTGAAGTTTGCGGGCAACTCCTCATTCATCTCCTCTGCGTTTCTCGTGCTTACTCATCCTTCACGCTGTGTAGTCCAGGCTTGCGGAAGCTGGTGCCTTTATATCACCCTCTGTTTCACAGCTGCTGTTTTCCTTCCTGCCCTATCCAGGGCACTGAGACACATGTCCAAACACACTTCAGCTTTGTTGCAAATGCCCTGCTCTTTGTATATCTATTTTAGACACACTTGCACAATAGCAAGCAAGTTAAGCTGAGCTGCCTTGCCTTCGCCATACAGCCTGATTAAGTAATTTTTTTTTTTTTTTAAAGCTACGCAATAAGATGGGAGGTCGTCTCCCTTTGGAATCAAGCTGTTCTGCAGCTGGAAGCAGTGAAACGGTGGTGCTGCTCTCCCTGCCCTGCTTAGACCACTGGCAGCCTGCCCTTTCGATAGCAGTGCTGCGCTGGTGAGCCTCCACTTAATTCAGGGGCTTTCTTTTTGAATGGAGGTAGCGAGGGGAAGAAAGGAATGTGTGTTTTGCCTCAGTATTCTAGTGTTTCTCCTTATTTCTGAGCACTTTCCTCCCAGCCTGACCATTCAAGCTCTTAAAGTGGTTATGCTGCCTTTGCTTTCCTCTTTCCGTACCTGTAAGGGAGTTTCTCTTCATTGTGCAGTCGTCTTCTGCTGGACTTTAGTCAGGCTGGGACCTCGCCTGGTCTGGATTAAAGGGTATTGTGCTAGCATGCAGTAGCTATCATGCGTTAACTGACTTGTAAGCTTGTGTCGACAGCCCATGCGTTCTGCAAAACTGGTTAAGCTGAAGCCTCCAGAGGAGTAAGTGGTGAAACAAAACCTGTGCCTTGAGTCCCTGCAGCCTTTCTTTCCAGCGTGGCGGTTCTGCTGGTGCTCCCCATTTCTTACAGCTCTGCCTGGCCGGGGAGTTGTACTTCATCAAGCAGCATCCGAAACATCGTCTGAGATCCCTCAGCCCGGAGTGATTCATAAACTAGTGCAACCTGTTGCGTAGGGAGTGCCTGCTATCGAGGAGATGTGTGAAGTTACTCATTAACTGTTCTGTACGCATCTTGCTCAGCAGAAGGCTGCGCTAAAACCCCGGGGAATGGCTCCAGCAGGTTGCAGACAAGCCAAATGACTTTTCTGCAGCGCTCGGACTCTGTCAGCCTCTGCATGCCTCGATTGCTCACGCTTTCCTTGTCGTGGCCTCAATTGCTTCTCACTCCATTAACCACAAAATTAAAATGACTGATCTTCAGACACGAGTTGCTGGGGGAGGGAAGGAGGGATAAAAAGCCACTTTTTCATTTTTTTTTACCCAAACCCTGCTATCAGGTTGCCAGTCTGTTCTCGCAGTAGGATTTCAGAGTTCAAAAAGTACCTTGTTTCTCTAATAACTGGGGAGAGAAATGCTCCAGAGGTCCAAGACTGGCTATTAAAGAGGGATCTTTTATGGAAAGTAGTGTGTATAAAAGAAGAAATAAAAATAGCTAAGTGCATTGCAGGTGAGGGAAGAAAGGTGGTTTTGGCAGAGGTGCAGAGCACCTTTTTTTAAACAATTGCACTATTTGTTGGAGACAAGTAGGAGATGCTGTGAGTACAGGTGAATGCAGCTGTTATGCCGGCAGAATTAAAACCTCCAAAAGTAATTGGTATCACACCTCCAGCTCAGCTTTCCTGGGTGTTTTGCCTTTTCAGAGCAGTCGTTGGCATTCTAGCTTGCTGGTCCAAATGCTCTGGGTGGCAGCTGACACCTATCAGCCAGGACCAGTTGTACCTGGAAACTCATTTTGTGAGGCTCTGCTGTGCTTTGTGGGTCCTCGCTCGCTTTGTGGTGCGGGTGAGGTTTGGGAGGTGGTCCCAGGTGTTCAGCAACTCTCTGACTGTGGGTGAATGAATCCGTGTCCTGCTTCAGGTCTCTAGAAATGAGGAATAACTCGCTGTAGGTAAGCGGTAGTAATCTGCAGAAAGGGCTCCTGTGCCCAAAGCTTGTTGTAGTTCTTCAAATATACCTCTTGGCTGAACAGGAGGTTACTTCTGCCCACAAATCTTGCCTTGCTGATAGTCATTGCCTTGGTTATTTAAATTCATTGCCAGCCAAGGCCATCCACCTGTGGCAGGGGTGCGTTTCACCCCATCCTGTTTCCAGTTAACAAGTGGATGGAAGGCAGGCAGCATGGATAACGTATAAGCTAATAATGACCTGTATCCGATGCTGATTTGTCTTTGCTCTCTCTCCTTTCAGGATCCCTCGGTGACACAGCTCACAAACACTAGCCAAAGTGGCTTGGATGAATTCAACCCCTTTTCTGAGAGCTCCCAGCTGGTATGTGCCATGTGTCTTCGCACTAGGTATCTTGGTGGTGGTTTTAGCAGTGTAGAAGGTCTTTTGGTAGGTGCAGCTTAAAAGAAAAAGAATGAGGCGTTCGCAGTTGATTTCCCCACGGACAGTAGTTCATTGCGTGCGTGGCAAGCTGCAGGCAACTGCTCCTGCACTGGAGCACTAATAAACTCCCAGCTGGAGCTCTCCACTCGCATGGAACAGCTTCTTTCAAACTCGCTGCTGGCTCCCAGTAAAGCTATATGAAGTGTGAAGGGGAAGATGTTTTGTGGCAGGACGCATCAATATTTATTTGGTCTCTGGGTTGGGAGCTGAACTACTGTGGCGATATCACTGATGGATTGCTGCAAGAACTTCATTCTTATTTCCTGGCTGCTGTCGTGTTGAGATGGGAAAAGGAGAACAGGAAACCAGGGTAAAGCAATATTTGCAGTTCAGGCAATGGATCAAAATCCCTTTTTGTTTGTCCTGTGCCTAATGCCCATAATCCACAGGTGCTGCTCCCCCAGTGCATTAAGGAACTAACAAATTTTTGAAAATGCAGAATTGCTTCCTGCTAGTGCTTTCTGGTTTAGTAGTGCTAAAACTTGAACTATCCTTTGCTAAAAGAAGCCGTATGTAATGTTTTTGCCTTGTTGCTTGTGACTTATATGCAGACAAATGCAGCACGGACGACACCAGCCACGCAGCCCTCTGGCCGCTCGCAGCCTGCTGTTCTGCAGACGTCTGTGGAGCCCACTCCCCAGGTATGGCAACCCCTCGCTGCCGCCTTCCCAAGAGCTGGGCTGGAGAGTGTGAAGGAGCTCCCGTGGGCCTCTGGAGGCATGCAGGAATAGGAGGGGAATGGGATTCTCTGGGGTTGGGTGTGGGAAGCTGCACGTTATCTTTTAAACTTGCATTTGTATCTGCCCTGTGAAGCAGATCTCTGTAGGGAATACATACACGCAATTCTTTTTATGCCTTTTCCCTGTCCCTCTGGTGGCGGAGCTCACTTTGCCTTGTATCCTGTTTGCTCTGGCTTCCCTCTGCAAACACTGAAAAGTATCCTGCTAATGCTTTTAGCTTAGTTCTGGTGACTGGTCAGACACGCTCAGTTCCAGGAGTGTAAATGCAGTCTAGCTATACGTTGCAGCCGCTGCTTAGACCGGCTAGCAAGTACCCCACTGCCAGGACCACCTCACCCAAAGAGCAGAGAAGCCGAGGCTGACAGGAGAAAGGATCAGTTCTAAGAATAGTGAACAGGTAGAAGAGATGCTTAAGAGGTGTGGTAGACAGCTGTCTTGCCTTTCCTTTGAACCTCCACTCCTAGCTGGGAAGGGAATTGTCCTAGTAAACTCAGGAGTCCTGCTCACTGCTCTATTGCAAGGCACTTAGAGCGTTGAGGCAAACCGGGAGGTAGAAGAAGCCGCAAGAAAAGCGTAGCTTTGCTGAAAGGGAAGGGCACAGAGGATGGGCAACAGCCTGGGTAGCCTCTTGAGGGCTCTTCCAGCCCTATATTCCTATGGGATAAGACAGGAACATCTGGGCGCAGTTCTGCATTGATCTTGATTTTTATCCTCCAGCAGGTAAGGCAGAAAGCCTCAAGATGTCTCAGATCAGCCACGGGTATTCAGCTTTCAAATTGTCCTCAGCCCTTGCTATTGAATTGCCTTTGCTTCCGTTCCAGTTTGGCATCTGGTGTGTTTGCTGGTGGTATTGCCACTGCCTCTGTTAGGGAAGGGCTTAACTTTTTCTCCCCCTACTTTAGGCCGTGGCTGCGGCAGCACAGGCTGGGCTTCTTCAGCAGCAGGCAGAATTAGAGAGGAAGGCAGCTGAGTTGGAGAAGAAGGAAAGGGAATTGCAGAGTAACGCAGCCAGCATTAATCGTGAGTAGTGTTTCCTGCATGCCCTGCTCGCAATGAGTGTGATGCCCAGGGAAGCCTGGGTCGCTTGGATTGTCAGGATTTGATGAAGGCTCAGCCTGTCCAAGTATATGCAGCTTTTTTAGAAGCTGTGTATCTCTCCTCTAGTCCTTCACAGCTGTGGCAACCCTCTTGGGACGGTACCTGTCATCCCATAACTTACAAGATGGGACATGAGCTCAGAGATGAGATGCTGGAGACCAGCTCTGCTGGGTCTCTGCCCTCGAGCATGCTCTCAGCATCTGCATTTGGCCACGTTAAGTTCTTCAAACACCAATTTTTTTATCCGTGTCTGAGCTGTTGTGTGGTGCTGCCACGTTAAGGCTTTCCACTGAGAGCAACAGGGCTTTTTCTCAGTCTCGAGGCTCTCTTAACCACACCAAAACAGTATTTTCCCCTAATCTTGGTTTTAAATGGCTGAACCTGGACTTGTGGTGCTGAGTGGCGATGGTTGTGATGGCCCTGTGGCCATTGCAGGGGAGTTCTGCCTCCCATGGAGGAAAGCCCTCAAACTGGGCTGGTTGGCCTCGCTGCTTCCAGCAGAGTTAATGCATCCCTGCTGCGCTGCCTGCTCAAACCTACCGAGACCTAGCCTCTTCCAAGGCTTTAATGTCAGTGCGAATGAATGGCTACTTGCAAATTACGACGTGCGAATGAATCTTTCAATGAGAGAAGAGCAAGAAGAACTGCTCCTTTCTCCTTTCCACAGCGAGGCAAAACAACTGGCCACCTCTTCCCAAGAAGTGTCCCATCAAGCCGTGTTTTTATCAGGATTTTTCTGCAGATATCCCAGCTGACTACCAGCGGATATGCAAGATGCTGTATTACTTGTGGATGCGTAAGTAATAACGTGAACTGCAATAAAAATTCTTCCTAAGGAGATTCTGTATCAAATGCCGAGCTTTGCGCTTATAGTAAATTCTGTAGGTGTTGTCTGCAAGGGTAAAATAATGTCTCCCTTCCTTTTTTATGAAGGCAAACGTAAAGGACTCCAAGTTTATGCTTTGGGAATAGCTCATTCATGGCAAAATTTTGATTGTTGCTTAATGGAGACTTTAACAACTCTCCTGAGACTCTGAAAGACAGCAGTTAGCACAGTTCAGAGATTAGGTGCAAAACAGTCTCAACCGTATTTGTCAATTTTGGTGCTCTGAAGAGATTTAAGATTTGGTTGTAAGCAGCAGGATCAGATGAAGTTCTTAGGTTAAGCTCCGTTTTCCTTTCAAGGGAGGCAAGGAAATTAGATGGCCCAAAGTCTCCTTAATTTCTGCAGAGGTCCACGTGTTCAGTGAGAGATTAGGGATGCTGCTGAGTTTTCCAGGAACTTCCTGATGTTTTTTCTCTCTCTCCCATTCTGAACAGTGCATTCCATTACCCTGCTCCTAAACCTGCTTGCTTGCCTGGCATGGTTCACAGTCCAGACGGAAAGAGGAGTAGACTTTGGTCTCTCGATCCTGTGGTTTATTTTATTCACCCCTTGTGCCTTTCTCTGTTGGTACCGACCAATTTACAAGGCTTTCAGGCAAGTACTATTTTCTTCCATAACAGGGGTGTATCTTTTAGTGGGAGGACCTTTTGGTTTTATTTGTTCTGATGTATATCGCCTGCAGGATTTTTCCAGCTCTTTGCATTGTTAAATAGATTAAACCCACTTGTTCCTGAACTTATTAAAAGTATCTGATGGAACTTAATTATGGTGGTCCTTTTTCATCTTGAAATCCAAGTCATAGGGTCCTACTTTTTTATTAATTTCTGAGAAACTGTTTGGTACATTAATGTGTTGGGCACAGCGCGTGTGTTAAGGAAGCTGCCTTCACCCCATCTTGCACTGGGGAGAGCTGGTGGTTTTGCGATACGCAGTGGACGTAGCAGTAAGTTGCGTAAGTTCCTCCTGAAATCACCTCCCCTTCGCAGCTTTCCCCTGGAGAAAGGAGTTCACTGAAATTGTTTCCCTCCTCTTAGAGAAGGGAGTCTGTGCAGGGATCATGTCCCTGGGTTTCACTCCTGCTGCTGTCTCTCCTGCAGGTCTGACAGCTCCTTCAGCTTCTTCGTCTTCTTTTTCATCTTCTTCTGCCAAATAGCAATCTACATCATCCAGGCTGTCGG